AGCGTGTGCGCGCCCCGGGCTGCGGACGGGCTCCGCGGGTCTCGGGAGGGAAAGGGTGGCTTCGCTCCAGTCGCAGCTTCATCTACCGCAGGGTGGGGGGGGAAGCCGCTTGTATTGTTTCTTGGACGAAAATCTGCTCCGCCGAAATTAATGCGCGTATCTTGCACGGACACATCTCTCGTGGGGTCTGACCCTCATCCCGCGTGGGCTGGCGGGCTCTCGGCGCCAGCTCCTGCGGAAACCAGCCTGCTGGGAAACTAAAAATCGTGCGCGTCTTTCGCTTAAGTTATTTCATCTGCTGTGGCGAGGATGGAATGGTTTAGGCTTTGTGCCTGGCTGTGTCGATTTCGTTCAGAACTTAGTAAATTTTCGACTTCGGCTGTGATCAACAAGGGAAGAAGCCCCATTAGCAGAAAGGGCGTGAACGTGTTCGTCGGGGAGGTGGCAGGATCCGCGATGTGCTGAGCAGGAATTGGAAAAATATCGGGTAGGTCGGGGGCGTGCTGCTACTGTGCTTTTTCGTTATAGAGAGTCTGGTAGGAGACGGAAATCGTTTGGTTTCCCATTCCACTGTCAGCCTTCACAGGAAACGAATCGTTTTTGGAATTGGTGCCGAGTGCTTGTGCTTTGTGTTAGTCTTACAGTCAGATATCAAAACACTCGTACCTGGGCGAAACAGATATTCAGCTGTTTTACTCTTTTTCTCTGCCAGTGGTGTAAAACTGGTGGGCTTTCTGAGGGCAAAATATTGTTGAGTTAAAAAAGTTTTTGAACATGTAGAATTTGATAATTAACAAGGCAGCATGGAAAAGCGCTGCTCCTGATCTGCATGCGTCCTGTTGGAGTTTCAGGTATAAAGGGAGGAGTCTGCCTGTGTGAGTTTAAGGCCCAAGTGTGTTTAGAAAGCCGACATCCTGCAGGGACTTGTCACCCACTCAGTCTCTCAAATCAAATATATTGTTTATGCATTAGGTGGCCTCACGGCCTAATTACTTAATGAGTATTGATTCCTATTAAAAAAAATAATAATTAAAAAGTGTAGGTTTATTCAGCTCTAAGTTAATGGAAGTCGAGGCAAATGAGAGGCAATTCTAATGTTCACATTTATTGGTTTGTAATTGGAGTTGAAATGGTCTCATGATTTTGTATTTGATGCTTCAGTTTGCAGAACTAATTTTATAAAAACTCAACACACAGGCTGCGTTGTAAGACGACTTGATGGGAGGATTTCGCTTGAGCTAAATGTGCTCCGTTTCCACAGAGCTCCCTAGTGCAGCTGGACACGGTGTCTGTGATTGTGCTGCTCTTTGGAGTGGCAAGAGCTCAGCAAGACATTTCCTGGCATTTCAATACCCCTTATGTTTGGGAGGGGGTGCCTCTTGCTGAATACCAGAGATGAGGAAATTCCTGTGATCTGCTTCTTCCTTTTGCTTTCTGTGATATAGAAGAAAAGGTGGAATTGACTTGCAGGATTGGGGCAAAGTGATTTTTATACCCAGTGGAAGGAAATTCTTTGGGAAATTTCGTAAGTTTGTTGTGACAGTCCTACTTAGATGTGAAGGAAACATTCTGTAGATTTGTAGAGAGCAAGAATTATCTTGATTTCTGTTCTATGTGATCTTCTTTTTGCTGGCTGTATGGGTGTTTTTTTGGTAGCATACAATTAAAAACCCAGCTTGGCCTAGAGTTTGCAATCTGTTACCACTTTTCTTTGTACAGAGTTCAGTTTTGCAGCCTGTATAATATATATAAGCCATATTACATTACAAATGTTTATTTGATAATCACATAACTTTAAAAAGTTTATTTCTCATTTATTTTCATGCATCTGAAATGAAGAAGGCTTCTAGATTTTTGCTAGACCAGAAAGATCAGGTTGTAAATGATTTGTGGAGAGCAAAACCAAACATACTTTCACTTCAGATATTGTTCTGGTATTAATTTGGATGGAGAGTTTGTTCATGTCTTCCCCCATTTCTATCCCAAGATGGGAGCGTGGGAAGAAAAGAAAGAAATGAAAGGGGAAAAACAAACCTGAATTGTTTTACTGCCAAGTTGTATAAGGATGAAGAGCAGCAAACATTTTGTTAGGAGATGGATAGACTATTTCTTGAAGTTGGAGGGAAAAACACTTGACACTTCACATTGAGCACCTGAAATGCTCGAGATCTTGTACAAATGTTAATACTGTAAATTACATCCTAAGTTAAGTGGTGGAGTACTTGATCAGTTGTTTAAAAATCACTTGTGTTTGTCTTGAATTACGGTGGTAGGATAAAAAATGTTTTGTTAACTGGCAAGTAGAGCAGTAGTTGAGCGCTCTTAGTGTTCACTCGAGTATAGTACAACCCATTTGGTTTAATGAGGTGTAAAAGTCAGGGAGCAGTGTGTATTCTGTTCAGCTTGCTGCAGTTACGTAATTGCACTTAGTGGTTCTTAAGACAAATATGTTTAGCTTTCAGGACTTTCTGTAGTAGATGCTGTCAGTTTTGCATGGAGGCGTTCCAGCAGACTCTTCTAAGCGTATAGAGCTGATCTTTGATTTCACAGTATCAGTTCTATATTTTCCACAGTGCAGCACTTAAGTGAATAATTCCTGAAAAGCACATCTTCCTGATGGTTTAGAACCTAAGACATACGATAAACTAAGCAAGTGTTACTTTATAAGATTTCTTATCTTACCTTCATAAATAGCACTGAGACCTTTGAGTACGGTTAAAATACTACTGCTAACCTCACTAACTGGAAATGTTTATGAAACAACTCTGATAGCAAAGTCATCAAGTAAAACTGAATGCAAGTTCTACAGGAATTTTTCTGCATTTAAAGTTGTTGTATGCTTGCTTCAGGAAAATATCCAATTTTTCAATCTCGTGGGCATTTTGCTGTGCTTGATCATTTTATGTATATCATGCTAGCTATTGTATTCAACCCTTGAAAAATCATGTATTGTTTTTGAAAGTGTCTTTTTCAACTTTTGTTTTACAAGATACTGTACTCTATGGTGGCATTTAAAAGGTAAGGATTAAGTCACTGTATATTGTATGGCAATGAAACCTTTGGTGCTATTTGCTTTAACCAAGCACTAAAGAATTGAGAGTTTTTAGGAGGAACAAATGACAAGTTTTTGATACAAGTCAGCAGAGTATTTGGGACTTGATGTGTAACAAAGGCAATGCTGTGTGTTCTTTTTCCAGCAGAGCATTCCTAAGTTGGTATGTGACAGTGGCCTTATTATTGCAGGCTGACTCAGCGCACGTTTTTATGTATGGCTTCTTTGTGTTGGGGAGCCAAGGCCTCAAACCTGGGTCTTGTCCACATTGTGAATCAGCAGCCTCTGTACAGTAAAACTTTTCCCCCAAGGTGTTCTCCTAGGCCAGTGGATCCAGCGAAGGAGGGGCTGATTGGAATTGCTTATATTCAAACTTCAGTTTGAAACCTTCCACAGAGAAATGTAGGTTAAGTCACTTGAGATCTGATAATTCTTCAGCGTCCTTCCTAAAATTCTTCTCAAGGATAGTGAGAATTGAACGTAGCTGGGGGAAAAAAGTCAGGGCATGTCAGCAAGGAGAGCTACAGACTCTCCCAGGCACATGAAGGCAGGTGGTGAACCAGTAAAGGTGCCAGTAGGGCTTTGCATGCGTGTCTGGAATAAACAAATCCGCTCAGCATTCTGTGAACTGCTGTGGACATAACTAGGATCTTATTTAACCCTTCAGCTATAATTCTGGTGTAATCAAATGTGGTTTCTTTAACAAGATTGCAGCCTAATGTTAGTGTGATAGTAATGATAGTTTTCCTTGGCTAGAGTAATGATAATCATACTCAACTTTCCACATTTTTTCCTCACTATACTGACTCAAAGTCTGTATGCTGGGAAAGTTAGGGACTTAATGGCTGACTGGCAGTAATTCAGTAGAGAAAGACATGGTAGAATTTTGGATAAAAATTTTGAGAGAGATTAATTTTCCATATTTAAATATACATCTAGGAAAAATACATACTAAGAACCAGGGTATACTCAGCCTCTCAGAGGCATCTAATTTCTTATGCCCTAATCAAATTGTAGAAATGTTCATGGCTCATAAAGTAACATTTTTCTTTAAAAAAAAACCCCAAACTTTTGCATATGCAAATGAAGTTCATATTCAGTTGTGTTCATGCTGTTAATTGAAAGGCCAGGGAAGGGAAAAAGGGAAGTGGGACACATGATACGTACTGCTGATGAGCTGACTAAGTTTAAAGTCACAGTAGCAGGAAAGTAATCAACTAGCTAGCTACAGACATTGCTGATGTCAGGCAAAAAGTATATTTTGCCCTCTGACGCTTAAGTCTGTGCTTGCTCTGTGTTGCTCATGCATGTTATTCATCGTTAGATAATTATTTGGTTTCAGCAATAAAACCAGTAATGCGGAAGGCAGAGTAGTTACCAGTGCTGCTTTCTTTCAGAAGACAAGTACAGTTATGTAGGTGACTTGGTCTGTTCTGCTATGTTAGTCGCTTTTGCATTGCAGACTGGTAGTGTTGGAAATGTTACGTAGCATTCCTAAGCTTCAGAAATGAACAGGAGCAGCTGGGTGCAGAGATCTGTATTGTATTCCAGGTGCTAAGACTATGAGGGGAAAGTGCCTTTTTCACTCTCCAAAAGTGGCACTAAATGAGTAGTCTGAAGGAGAAGGCAGTTTCTGACTTGAAAGAAGTTGCCTTGTCATCAAAATTGAACTTAACTGTTGTTTTTGGGATGAAATTAGCTACCAGCTGTATGGAATGGTGAGAGTTGTATTTTGTGTAAGTACTTGAAGTACTTGTTTCTTTTGTTGATTTCTTTGTCTTTTCCAGTTGGTTGTCTTGTCTTTGACAGCATTTAAAAATGAGAGCAGGTCCTATCAGATGCATTTTAAGATTAATGTAGACTTTCTCCCAGGTGCAGCCCATTCATTAGTGACCTTTGATGGGTATGCTTACTCAGTGTTGTAAGGTTACTTTTACTGCATGTTTGGTAAGGGTTGATTTTTATTCCTGAAGTGCCAAATGAAGAAGCACTAGCCTGGTGTTAGGCTACTTGACTTGTTTCCTGCGTTTTCCCTCAGAAGTTGCTTAGGTTAGAAGACAAATCAGTAAGTTGAGTGTATTTTTGGTGAGTCTAAATTCACTGCTTTTAGAAGACTTGTGATGATTACAGTGTTATAAAAAAATGCTGTGATTTAGAATTTTTTTCAGTATTTCATCTGTATTTCTGAGTAAGGAAAATTGTAAGTCCAGATAAGCAAATGAAGTTTGTTTATTTTACTGGAGTAAGATAAAAATAAGTAGTACAAAAAAGGTCAATTAATTGATCATCAATTACAAATTAAATGTCATCATTTCTCTTGTTAATAGCTGTGTGAGCAAAGTAGTTACAGTTGTTTTGAGCGAGACTTTCAAAAATAGTAAGATAACATAGAAATTAGAAAATACCCTTTTATATGGAGAAGAAAGAGTAAATGCAGAGATTCTAGTAGTGGTTTGTGGATGTTTTGGCAACTATTTAAATCAAAGTATTAAAGATTATATACATATTGATTGTATATGGAGTTTTGAGAAATTAAAACTATGTGTTAAGTACATGTTGTTAATATACAATCCACTCCATAGAGAATATATTAATAAGTATCACTCCTTTAATTCTTTTAGTACCACTCCCTCAATTCTTTTAGAAGAGCAAGTTTGTTGGCTGTTTTTTCCTTCTCATTTTTATTCTGAACTATTTCTTTAGCACTGCTGGGAAATCTCACTGAACAAATTGAATTGTCTCATATAGAACAAAATAGTGCGTGGTCCTATTAGATTAGATGTGAGCTGGAAGAAAAAGTTGCATCCAATAATTATTATAAGAGCTACTTCTAACAATAAGTGCAGTACCTCTAAAAAGAAAAGTAAGAAGCAAAAATCCTCTGTTTTTGGAAGAGCTGTGTCCCTGAAAAAGATGTAAAACTCTGTTGAATATTCATGATGGGTTTGAGTACCTGTTTACTATATACAGAAGATAAATAATAGATTAAATAGACTGTTTAGATGCTTTCCTTCTGAAAATCTTGAATGATGTATGTGGCACTAGTGTATTGTACTGTCTTGTATTTTCTGAGATTTGGCTGGCATGATTGAAGCATTCTAGTTAATTAGACATTTTTTGAGTACAAAGGAGCTGTGAAATTGTAGCTATTTCTTAGATGGTAGCTGTACATAAGCCACCAAATATAAATTATGCATAAATCCATTCTGTACTGCTGTGGGTCTTAAATATTGGATAAGCTTTTTATTACTTTTACATGTTGACAGCTTTTCAAAGTTTTTTTCATGTATCACAACATTCTGTGGTTAACTTTTTTCTGGTGGTTGTTCTAAGTTCTGGTAACTCATCACCTCCATGTGACTAAAATGTTGCTGAGATGTCTTACCTTCATTAAAACAATGTTGTAGAGTCAAGAAAATAATTACTGAGAAATCTATATGAAGAGAATACATCTTTTCTGGTTTTGGTGTGTTGTTACATTATCTATTACCACATCACCTCTGAAAATTCTTTGGAATTAAAGCTAATGCTTAATTTTTAGTAATGTTTTGAAAGCTGAGTATTTTTAAAGGATTCAAAATATAATAAGCATCTAAATTATTGAGACTGAACAAATATAGAAACATGATGGCTGCACCATCAGCATACAACTAAGATGTCTCGGGTCAATATTGCTGTAGATAGCTAGTCCTAGGTTTATTGGGGAGGGGCGGGGAATGTCATGGCACCTAAGCTTCAGTATATATTTTAAAACAGTGGAATGTATAGGATCTGTTATTTTAGCTTTAATTAAGTTTTACATGGTTGCTGGCTATACTTTCTCTTAGTTTATGAACTGCAAACAGAGGAAACGGCTAATGATTAAGCTGGTATTTAAATAGAGTAATCTTTGGTTTTTATTGCGTAGTGGAATTAACAAACTTGGATTTATTTATTTTATTAACAAAAGAATAGAAGTTGACTGGGTACATCTAGGAAATACTCTGCTTCTTAGTAGCTTTAAATTTCTATTTAGGAACAGGTGAGATACTTTTTATTCAAGAAAAATGAAATTATTTTAAAAGCATTTTTATATTACCTAATAAATTATATGTCTGGTTTTGAGCTGGCTCATATAAAAAGCCTTTGGCTTATTAAGGATCTTAAATTGCACAAAATACACTGGTGTTTCAATAATCTTTGTTAAACATTCAGGTCTTATTTCTTTCCCTAATATGTAACAGGTCAATTCTATTGGTGGATAAAGAAGGATGATGGCAGGGAATAACCAGCTTTGCATTCGACGTTGGACTACCAAGAATGTGGCCAAGTGGCTGAAGGAAGAAGGCTTCTGTGAATATGTGGATGTTCTGTGCAATAGACACAGACTAGATGGAATTACACTACTGACACTTACTGAGTATGATTTACGATCCCCTCCTTTGGAAATCAAAGTTCTGGGGGATATCAAAAGGCTGATGTTGTCCATACGCAAACTGCAGAAGCAACATATTGATGTCCTAGAAGAGCTGGGTTACAACAGTGATAGTCATGTTGGCACAGCGTGCCCAAGTGTTGGTTCACTGCAGGGTACTGACTGGTTTTGTAATGGTGACGTACCTCGGGACTATGACGGACCAATTACTGACTTGAATGGTGATCAGTATCAGTATGCAAATGGAAAAAACAAACACTCTGCACGAAGACTGGACCCTGAGTATTGGAAAACGGTTTTAAGTTGTGTGTATGTCTTCATAGTGTTTGGCTTTACATCATTTGTTATGGTTATAGTACATGAGCGAGTACCTGACATGCAAACATATCCACCTCTGCCAGACATCTTTCTAGACAGGTAAGAAATTTTCTTTTAAAACAAAATAGTAACTTGATGGTTAAAGTATAGGCTGTCTTTTCTTCATTCTTGAAGTTCCATGTGCTCTTGAAGATGCCTCTGCAAAATAGTAATTAGAGTGTAGTAAAATGTTCTGCTAAGATTGAAATGTGCATCAGTTAGATGCAGAGATTTAGTCTTCTTGGGTAAATAAATTGAGCTTCTGTTCTATCTAATTTATATTATCTATCTTTAGCTAATGTCAATACAGGAGTTAATTTGTCCATCCTTTCATTCTGGTCCAGAGTGATGGTCAGCTGTTATCAGTAGGCAGCCACATGTTTTTTCTGAAATCCAGATGCTGCTATGAAGCTTAACATGTCTTGATATAGAAAAACTTTCGATGAAGGTATATTTTGGTCTGCCAGTGAGCAAGGAAATTAGCAGGGGATAGCATTGATACTGTATTTTGTTGTCTCCCAACTGTCAACTTGTTGAAGATGGTTTAGAGAAACCATCTGAAGTAGACTAAATAGATCAGCATCTTTAACTGTAGAGTATCAGTGTACTAAAACACTGCTGTGATTTAGGCAGTACATGCTCGTTTTTTAAAGAACACTTTCCACTTAGGCAGAAAAGAGACACAATAGCAAAAGTGAAATTCTAGTTATTGACTATAGATTTAGTAGAGGATAAATGCTCCCTTTGGGGAAGTACACTTGCACCATAGATAACTTGTTTAGAGAGTTTTAAAATACAAGATAAACTAAGAGTTCAGTCTTCATGATCTCCTAATTCCTGCCAGTAATTTTCATTTTCATCAGTGGTTTTCATGAAGTCAGTAGGAGTCTAATCTTTTGAGTAACTGCTGAATCCCCCATAAATTTAGATATAACTCAGCAAGGATGGACCACATCCAACAGAGTGGAAGAGGGAAGAGAGAGCAGGAGCTGTGGCATTACTGGATTTTGTTCCCAGGACAGTAGGAGGATGGGGGAGGTCAGAGAGCAGCAGCTCACAAAACAATGCAAGGGGACTACTATAGAGCCAGTGTTTAAGCAGCGCTTTGTTACCCCTTTATATTGGGGAACACAAAACTACAAGGAGCAGCCTCCTGAAATCTGTTGATCTGTATTTTGGTGAAATTGCAGAGTAGAAATTGTTACTGGTGCCATACATGTGCAAGAAAATATTAAATCTTTTGACAAGCAAGGCTAAAAGGTTTGCATAAAGTGATTATCACTGAAATCTAACTTGGAAAACAGCTTTTATTTTTCCTAAGTTTCCTGTGCAGTTCTACTTCATTACAAGTATCTAGGATTTTAGGCTTTGCCAGATTTCATTAATTGTGTGGACATGGCATTCTTATAAGCAGCATAGTTCACATGATGCAAGTTTTTCAAAATGGAAAAGGTTGTTGGGAAGCAATCGTAGAGGAATACATCTTGTTAGTAAATTGCACGTGTGAATTAAGAGAGCATACTAGAGACTGACTTAGTGAATTGTGGGTAAATGTCTATTGAAAATACGTTATTAGAAATGAGATAATGTAATTAAAATTCAAATTCTTATTCAATCTAACAAAATATTTTTTTGTTGTAGTTTATTGTCAGATTAATGCAAGTTAGTTCTGTAGTTAGAACTTTATATGCCTTTATTCTCAATGCTGAGATTAGAAAGAAAAATTAAGCCTTGGTATTTTAAATTAACTTTCTTGCTTCATCCTTTTTTTTTTTTAGCGTCCCTAGGATACCATGGGCTTTTGCTATGACTGAAGTATGTGGCGTAATTCTTTGCTACATTTGGCTGTTGGTTCTTCTGCTTCACAAACACAGGTACAATATATACAATATATAAATATATATATATATACACAATATGTAAAATTCAAATTAACTGCTACTTTGATTCAGAGAAAGGACTGTAACAAGAATTTATGATGATTAAAACTTTCTGTTCAATAAGAATCTTTTAAGTTTCTAATATGTTCTGTTAAAATGGATTAGGGAGGATTTAATCAAGAATGGCGACTCATGAATCTTATGAAGGAGTAATCTGAATTTACTTTTTAACCAGATTTATATGTCATTTCCTTCAGAATATATGCGTTCCAGAGAATGTCAGTATATACTCACACTCTCATACTGTAACAATTTTGTACAGTAAGAAAATCCTACAAGAATGAAATTTCACAGGATGACTGAGCCAGCCTAGCAGCTTGCTGTCACCAAAGGGTAGAAAACCTTTTTGTGTGCATGTGTATCTTAAGTTAAATTTTTACCAGTTTGTTGATTTTTAGCAGTTTGCCAACGGAAGGTATGAGTGCCAAAGCTAGTACAAGTATAGCTTCAAAGGAGTGTAGTTGTACCTTTTGGTCACAGTAAGCCTGCTACAGTGTCTCACCCTGTCATGTGGAACTATAGCTTTGCAGTACTACTTTAAAAAAAAAAAAATTTTTTTTTTTTACTGTGAAGCACACAGCAATGATGAAGGGATTTCATGGGACAAAGTTGGAGTGTGGGGAAATGTGTTTATCATAACTTTCCTGATTTAAAAATATAATCTATTAGGATTCTTGAAATCAGTTCCTATGTACTTTTCCCAGATCTATACTCCTGCGAAGGCTGTGCAGCCTCATGGGGACAGTATTCTTACTACGTTGCATTACAATGTTTGTTACCTCACTCTCTGTGCCAGGCCAGCACTTGCAGTGTACTGGAAAGGTAAAATTTAAGATCGTTTTTCTTGTTTCCTTTTTTAAAATTTTATTTAAGATATGATTTAGATTGTTGTGACCATAACGTTAAGTGTGTGTTTGTAAGAACAGTGTTGTTTCTCTCCTGTTCCCCTCCACACCCCTTCATTAATTGTTAGTATGCAGACAAGCATCCTTAGGGGTCTTAGAAGGACTTGCCACTTTGGAGAGGAGATAGTTACTTGGGGAAGGCTGTTCAGAATATTTCATAATGTAAACCGGAGAGAATACATCAGAGAAGTGTGCACTTAAGATACTGACTTAATGAAGAAAGGCTGGAAGTGGAGTAATCATTTGTCTTGTTGGATGCATGCTTTTGAAAAAAAAAAAAACAAACCAAACCCACACATTATTTCACCCCTTCTAATAAATAAGGGATACCCATAAAACATGGGATTTTTATGGTTTTATCCTAACTTTTAGTTAGAAGAGGTTTGAGTTGAATATATTGGAAGCTGGACAGTGATGCATTGAGAGGTTGAATATATTCAAAAACAGGTGGCAACTGTATATAAATCACTTGTAACAAAATACTTGCTCTAAATTCTAGTATTCATCAGAGGTGGAGGTATGATGAATATAATTAGTAACGGCAGTTACTAATTTGACTCACTACCAAAATAAAATCCAGTGATGTGCTAACCTGCATTTTAATAAAAGACTCAACATGATAAACATTATTAAACATACATAGTGCTATACAGTTAACTTTAAGAATATAACTGCTCAGGCATTGGGTTTGGAACCTACTAAAAGTTAATGTTGCTTTCTTTTAGTTGTATGGCAATGTTTGGGCAAAACTCCAGCGGGCATTTGCAATATGGAGTGGCTTTGGAATGACTCTGACTGGAGTACATACATGTGGAGATTATATGTTTAGTGGCCACACTGTTGTCCTGACCATGCTCAACTTCTTTGTCACAGAATGTAAGTAGAGAGTGTCAATACTTAAATGTCCTTAAGTGTTAAGAATATGTACTGCTTGTCAACCAAGGGTACAAGAGTGTAAATATTTAAATGTCTCATAAGTATTAAGAATATCTGCTGCTTTACTTCCTCAGAAAGTTCAGAGTGTAACATTTAAGCAAAGAAATATAAACTGAGTTTGCTGTGCTCTTTCTCAGGTCTGTGGTTGTTCGCTTGACACAAAAAGAACAGCACCACCTAGATTAATGGAAGGATGAATAGGACACACTTGAGAGAACACATGAGCCAAGAAAATTAGAAAGATTTTCTAGCTTACTACTAGGAGAATACTAGGGAAGATACTTAGGATTGTCAGTTTCTGACCATTTCTCTAGGTATCAGCCACTGTCCCCTATCAGGCAAAATACCCATCTAGGTGGCTGTACCTTTAGTATCATCCATAAAGCCAAAATACCAAACATCATGCTGACTGAGAATATATGAAACAATAGTGCTCTTCTGCAAATACAAAGTGTGATTTGGTACATTACAAAGCTAACATAGTTTGAATTCATCTATGGTGGAATGACTGCAATAAGAGAGTTATGTATGCTTTATGACATTTTCCCCCTTATTACATGGAAAAGACATGATTTTCATTAAAAGAAGTTGGTTGAACAAAGAATTCTGCTTCACATGATCCTAAACCATTTTAGGATGCTCTGTTAATCCAGAAATGTGTAACAGCTGTATTTGTAAATGAAGTCATGAAGTGATAGACATTTATAACTTGTGTGGTTGTTTTAATTGGATTTATTGGACCTGTAGACATAAACAATATTTCCAGATGAAGACAGTAACTTAATCACATTTTTGGATTAAAATTTTGTACAAGAACTTACAATGTTTAGACCTGGATTTCGTAATAAGCCGTATTTTTGAGACAGTCAAGGTTAGTCACTTTCTGTTTTCTCCTAGATACACCAAGGAGCTGGAACTTCTTGCACACCTTGTCCTGGGTCCTGAATCTCTTTGGAATCTTCTTCATTTTGGCTGCACATGAACATTATTCTATAGACGTATTCATTGCCTTTTACATCACTACAAGACTCTTTTTGTATTACCATACATTGGCTAATACTAGAGCATATCAACAGAGTAGGAGAGCAAGGATCTGGTTTCCCATGTTTTCTTTTTTTGAATGCAATGTTAATGGTACTGTTCCCAATGAATATTGCTGGCCCTTTTCAAAACCTACTATACTGAAAAGATTGATTGGCTGAAGAGCATGTGGGTCAGTTCAGATTTTCATGAAGCATTATGACTAAGATCCTACAAGGCTAGCTGCAGGGGGATGTAAAATAACATTTTTCACTCCGTGACTACCACCTCATTGTCTTGGTTATTGGATTCTTAGCCATAAATTGGGGTTTCCCATACTTCACAGGGATGTGTTTTGTTTTCTTGTTGCTAAAATAGAAAACAATGCAGGGACTGGTAAAGGCCATCAGTGAACCATGAATATGAACCAGAATACTGATACCCTTAGTAAGGTTCTGTGTCAATGTTTATGTAGCTTAAACATCAAATACATGCTTGTACTGAATATAATATACCCCTTACAGGTCCAAACACTCTCCATTACCTGACATGCCAGCCTTTATGTATACTGACTAAAAAAATCAGAACTTTATGAAGACTTTCTTTAAAACAGTCATAAATTCAAACCAAACCCTGTGTATATTTAAGGATTGGGGAGTACGGTGTCATATGAAGAAGGCAGTATAGTTCTTTGCTAAAAGGGTCTCTTAACTGTGAAATAACAAGTCTTAAAGTATAATTGACAGTGTAAGTGGTCTGCATACTGCCAAAACTGAAGGTCTGCCTTGTGGCTATGCAGTGATGATCTGTTTTCTTTAATGGGAACTTATTTAGTCTAGTGTATCAGTTGTCTATATGGTTGTTCTAGCACTTTGAAGTTTTCCCTTTTGTATTTAAATAAATGAGTTAAAGTAAATGCTACATCCACTGAAAGTAAAGTTAATTTAGCTTTAGTGAGTTTAAAGCCACAAAATAACTTTTGTATGGTTTTAATTGCTTTGTATCCAAACCTGTGCATGCTTTTTAGGAGCAGCTCTTTAACACTGGAAAAACAGAACAGTTATCTTCATATATCTTACTGTCCCATAAATGGATGGGGAAATGCATGTAGTAACTCTTTCAAGAAAAGTAATAATAGTGCGTATTGGAAATAGTGCTCATATTGATGTATGTTTTAGCACTCTGGTGTCATCAGTGTTGAATATCTGTGGATATATATATACATGCAGTATATTTGTTTATATATATATAAACACACACAGTGTATGTTCTTCTAGCAAATATGAAAAGAGACTAGTTCTTAAGTTGCTCATTTACTACACCGAAGATAAAAGTACCATAAGCAATTAAGTTTTGGTTGTTTAAAAGAAAAAAACAAAACAAAACCCAGAATGCCCCCCCCCCC